ACTCTGTAGACCAGGCTGGCCTCGAACTCAAAAATCCGCCTGCCTCTGCCTCCCGAGTGCTGGGATTAAAGGTGTGTGCCACTACCGCCCGGCTTCTTTGAGACTTTTGTACATGGATATTTTGATCATACCCTTACCTCCTTCTGGATCCATGCCCACCGTGTGATTTCACAAGAGACTGCCTTGCATATTTTACATATCCAAGCAGACCTGGCCTCCAGGTTCTCCCAGCATCTCTACCTGGCATACCTTGCCCCAGCCCTGAACTTTCCAGCCTAGGGCTGCCCTTTCCCCAGAGGCTCTTCCCTATATAATCCAGACATTTTGGTCCTTGTCTGTCTCCTCTCCCTGCAAGTGAACCAGTGATTTTCCTGGCCTCAGTCCTTGGGGCCAGTGAATTCACCCAAAAGCAGCTTCCCTGCACACCTGCATTAATATAATCTGGCTTGAACTGGCTCGATTCACTGCTGGGGAAATAATTTATCACCCACCACCCCTCCCTTCACCTTTATCCCACCATCCTAAGAGAATGTCAGGGGTCCTTGCTCTCCCAATTTTCCCCTTGAGACAGGTTTCTCACCGCTCCTGGAGCTAGGCTCCCAGCTGACCAGCCCCACTGATCCTCCTGTCTCACCCTCCTATGCTCACCCCATAGTAGTTGGGTTGTAGGCATAGCCTACCACCCCTGGCTTTTTTACAAGGGCTTGGAAGATTTGAACTCAGGTCCTCTTGATTGTACAACATACACTCTTATCCTCTGAGTGGATATCTTTCTAGTCCCAGGGGTTAGGTTTTTGAGTGTTGGGATTTTACGCTTGGATCTAGTCCTGAAGAATTGGCATAATCAGATCCTGTCTCAGAGAGATAGAGGAGAGAGAAGAAAGGAGAGAGAGAGAGGGAGAGGGAGAGGGAGAGGAGACAGGAGACAGGAGACAGGAGACAGGAGACAGGAGAGAGAGGGGAGAGAGGGGAGAGAGGAGAGAGGAGAGAGATTTCTCCTAGGATGCTTAAGGATGAGGACAGGAAGGGTATAATCTTCAGTCCCAGTGGCACTTTTGTGGTATAATGGGATCATAAAAACACTCACTTCGTTAATGGATTAATTCATTGATGAATTCATGGATGATTTGACTATGAGGTACTGGGTCCTGGCTATGGGAAGTGGGTCACTAGGGGTATGGCTCCGAAGGGCGTATCATAGTCAGGTTGTCAGACTTTCATGGTGTGATGTTTTGAATAAGAGGTGTCCCCTAGAGGCTTGGGCATGTGGATACTTCTCCTTATTTGATGGGGTTGTTCTGGGAAGTTATAGGCAGGTACAGGCTTTGCTGAAGGAAAGGCAACACTGGGGGCAGGCTTTGAGAATTTAAAGTCTCCTCTCAGATTTCCAGCTGGAGATGGGATGTCTCCGCTTCTGGCTCTGGCTAACATGAATACCGTACCTGCCTCCATGAGAGATTCTTATCCCTTGAAACCAAAAGCCCAACTAACATTTTCTTCTATACACTGCCTTGGCCATAGAGCTTGGCCACAGCATCAGAGAAGTCATTTACCCATGCCGCAAGCCCCACCACTGAGTCATCTCACGGACCCATATGTCTCCTGTTTCCGTACTGCTGAGGGTCCAGCCTAGGGCTTTGTGTATGCTAGGCAAGTGTTATAATGTGATCACACACACACACACACATTTTTTTGGCGGTTTTGAGACCAGTTTCTCTGTGTAGCCCTGGCTGTCCTGGAATTCTCTCTGTAGACCAGGCTGGCCTCAAACTCAGAGATCCGCCTACCTCTTCCTCCTGAGTGCTGGGTTCAAGGGCGTGCGCCACCAACCACCTGACATCTGCCCACCCCACCCCCTCTGCTTTTAAATGAGAGCTGGTGTTATTGTGCAGCCCAAGCTGGTTTCAAACTTGAGATCACCTGTTTTAGCCGCCCAAGTTCTGGAATAACCAGCAAGTATCACCACACCTGGCTTTGAAAGTAAGTTTTATAAAGGGAGAGACAGGTCTGGTTTGTATTCTCTTGGGTCCTCAAAGCCTAGAATAATGTTTGTCTGTTTGTCCCTCTATGTAGCCCTGGCTATCTGGGAATTCACTATGTAGACCAAGTTGGTCTTACACTCACAGAGATCCACCTGCCTCTAAAGACATGCACCCTATATAGCACAGACTAGTACTGACCTCCTGACCCTCCCACCTCTGTCTCCTGGATCCTACATTAAAGGTGTGTGCCGCTACACCTAGCCAGTCACCACTTTTCAACGCTCTCCTTGTGAATAGTACTTGTGCACACTTCTAAGTGACTATTCAGGTTCACAGCAGTGGACCTGGCTGGGTAAAGGGATGTGATAAGTTTTACACTAGAATGAAAACAACCACCACCACCACCTGACTTACTTTCACTGGTGAACTAGGAACGGTGTGTGCCCTGCTTGGGTGCTATGTGCCAGGACATTACTCTTTCTCTTCTATGAGTTCTCGAGATGCTCAGTGGGGCAGGAAACAGAGATAAGCATGGGGAAGTGGCAAGGGACCAAGCCACAGGAGCCCCTTCATGTCAGGTGAGTTGCCGGAGCCATAGCTGGTTAGAGGTGAAGGAACAATACAGTCACGAGAAGGTTGGAGGATTGCAGGACACAGACACCGGGTGGCTATCTGTCCCTCTGAGATCCCTGTTCTGACCTGGCCCACACCTCTCTGCTCCCTTCTTACCCACAGGCACTAGTCTCTGGGCAAGAGGCCAGGAAGGAGAAACCTGTCCTGCCAGCCCAGGCTGTCTCCATCAAGCCGCATTGCTGTCCACCCAGCTGAGCCACTCAGCAGGTATGTGGACAAAAGGAACCAGAGAGGTTGGTGGCACACCCTGAACAGATATGGGGGTCTGCCTGCCCCTTCCCTCAGAGGCCAGGGCCACCCTAAAACTCTCATCTATGGCAAGGCCTGTCCTGTCTGAACTGCTTAGGGCGAGCTCAGAAATGCTTAGCAGAATAATTTTTCCCTCCATGTACATTTTGCACAACCAACAATGGCACATCTAAAAAAAAAAAAAACTCCTTAAAATGTAGATGTTTGGCACTGGACAGATGGCTCTCTCCAGCACCTATACAAAAGCTTAAAAAAAAAATGAGAGCTGGAGAGATGGCTCAGCGGTTAAAAGCACCGACTGCTCTTCCAGAGGTCCTGAAGCATCTGTAATGGGATCTGATACACTCTTCTAGTGTGTGTCTGAAGACAGTTACAGTGTACTCACATATATGCCGGGCAGTGGTGGCGCACGCCTTTAATCCCAGCACTTGGGAGGCAGAGGCAGGCAGATTTCTGAGTTCAAGGCCAGCCTGGTCTACAGAGTGAGTTCCAAGACAACCAGGGCTATACAGAAAAACCCTGCCTCAAAACAAAAAACAAAAAAACAAAACAAACAAAAAAAAAACCCCACAAAACCTGATGTTAGTTGAGTAGGTACAATGACTCTGTGGGTAAAACTGATCAAACCATGGGACAAACAGCTGAGGTGCCTATTTAACGTATGGAAGTGTTGGGACCTGGCGGCCTGGTTCCCTCAGTCCCTACCTGTTAGTATTCTGTCTAAGCTCCACCCCCACAGTTACCTGGCAACAGCCAGGTAAGCCTGCCCACTATAAAAGGGGATGTTTGCCCCCTCCTCCCTGTCTTAATCCTTTACTCTATTGCCTCTAGCTTCTCTCTGTCCCCCTCACCACTCCCCCTTCCCTCACCCTTCCCTTCCCCTCTCTCCACGTGGTCATGGCCAGCCTCTACTCTCTCTCTTCTCTCTCTACTCCTCTACTCTGTCTCTTCCTCTTTCTCTCTCTCTTCCTGTACTACCCTCCTGGCTCCCTTCCCCATGCCCTGAATAAACTCTATTCTATGCTAAACCGGTGTGTGACTGGTCCCTCAGAGGGAAGAGATGCCTCGGGCATGCCCGCTGAGACATCCCCTTCCCCCATACCTCTCCACACACCCACGGAACATCACTACCTGTTACTGGGTATGGCTGGCATACCCTGCCTCCTAACCTACACTTCTCCAGGCCTGTGACTGGGCTGCCCTTCCCCAGACAATCCAGCCCACTTTGGTTACCTGCCCCTTTTTATCTTCTGCTTGCTGGACTTCCCTCCCCCTCTCCTCAGATGGCTCAGGATCCTGGCCATGTGGACTCTCCCAGACAGATATCGCTAACTCTCACTATCTGGCTATAATCTATGGTAAACTTTCTCCTCCACCATACCTGACAACAGTCATCTCCTTCTTTTTCTTTTTTTTTAAGAACCTGAATTCAGATCTCATATTTAAAAAAAAAAATCAGTAACTCCAGTACTGGATGGAGAAGAGAAGGGAGGGTGGGCAGGGCTTCCTGGCCAGCCAATCTACCCTGGGGGAAAACTGTTGGGCTCCAGGTTCAGTGAGACTCTGTCTTAAGGGAAGAGGGGGAAGGGCAGGGAAAGACACTCCTCTGGCCTTAGACTGTGTGTGTGTGTGTGTGTGTGTGTGTGTGTGTGTGTGTGTGTGTATACAGCACACACACATGCACAAACACAGAAACAAAGAGGAAAGTTAAAAACCTTTCTGGAAACCAAGACTGCACTCCTGTATCCAGACATGCCTGAAGCCAGCCATTTTGAACCATGGGCATGCGCCAATAGACCCCATGAGGTGACTCATCAATGTCAGCTGGATTTCGGCCACTCCCTTCCTTCCTTCTGAAGTCTAATTCGCTCACCCTTGTCCCCAAAAGAAAACAAACTCCGGCTGGGCGGAATGCTGCACGCCTAGACCACCGGCATTCCAGAGGTGAGGAGGAAGAGGAGGGGACTGGGTCACACCTGTAACCTATTGGTGGGGAGACAGCTGCAGTGGGGCTACCTTGGCTTCGAGGCTAGCCAGGAATTACACACACACACACACACACTCCAGAGACAGTTTGGGCTTCAGAGTAAGACCTGGTCTCAAACAGAACAGAATAAACTCCCCTGCTCATTCGGTCAGCCAGTATTTATTAGCTATCCGGTCCATGCTCAGACACATGTTGGGGTGCTGATGGGGACCCCCACAATGACCACAGCAGAATGTGTCACCCTCCTCTGATAGCAATCTGGTCTATAAGAGCTTATACAAACTACTGAGCGACAGTGGCTACACCTGCAGGAAGTTCTGGAAGTCACGGAGAGGTGCGTGATGGGTTGCTAGGAGCAGCAAAGGGTCTCTGAGGACAGGATATACTGCCAGCAGGGCCAAGGGGGTCCAGGCACACAAATCCAGGGCCAGGGGAACAGTGAGAGTCCGGGGCAGCTCCTACATCTAGAAAGGGATGTTGGAATTGCAAGAAGGCAAAATGGAGGGAGGTAGACGGGGCAGGTTGTGGCGGAGGTACACGGTGGATTAGGGAGGAGCTTGAGGGTGTCCAGGCTCAGCAGAGAGGCAGGAGCTTCGGGCAGAGGGCGTCTATGGTCTCCCATTCCTCCTCAGAGAGTGGTGTAGAAATACATGGCTATCAGCATCACAGGGAGCTGAGTGGGCAAAGGATAAGACTGGGCGCTCTAGTCCGAACTCCCGTATCCCCCAAGCCCACGCCCACATCCCTGGACACCCACACAGCTCCCTCCCCCACAGCCCACAGGTGTCCCCACTTCTCACTGTCCACATCAAGATGGCAAAGCCAAACCACGATATGCCCCACGTGTAGCTGTCAATGGCGTGGCCGATGTGCTCGAAGCAACCCTGGAGAGAGAGACAGCAGGGGCTTGTGGAAATGCCACACGACATCCTTTTCTTCCCTTTGCCTTGGGTTTCCCATCTTTTGCAATGGGAACTTTGGCTATGTCTGCCTTCCGGGACCCTCAGCCCTTCCAGGACCCTCAGCCAGGAAAGTGCTGTTGAAGCCCCAAGCCCTGAGGCAGCTTTCTGATATTCTGATGGCAGCAGTTGCTATGAACTTGTTTATGTTCAGCCTGGCTTTCAGTGCTACCCATAAACCCCAAGGATTTGAAATCCATCTGTAGGTTCCATCTATTTCTGATACCTGCTCAGTATCAGAGACCAGGATGAGCAAGGCCAGAGTCCTATAGCAGAGTCACCCAGAGCATGTGACCCTGTCAGATGCAAGCAAGTCTGAAGCTAGCTAGCTCTGCCCTTGGTAGAACACACACAATTCTGGTTCTCTGAGCCCCAATTTTACAACCTGCTAAGTTGTTGCGATGGGGTGCCCTGGGACACCTCCCCTCTAAGCCTGATTTTTTTGTTTTTGTTTTTTCGAGACAGGATTTCTCTGTGTAGCCTTGGCTGTCCTGGAACTCACTCTGTAGACCAGGCTGGCCTCGAACTCATAGATCCACCGGCCTCTGTCTCCCAAGTGCTGGGATTAAAGGCAGTGAGCCACCACTGCCTGGCGCTGAGCCTGATTTAACAACCTGAGTTGTGGCCACAGGTAGCACCAAACACACAGCTGTTACTATTTTTTACATTGCCCAGGCTGGCCTCAACTGGCAGCAATCCTCTGGAAGGGAGATTACAGACGTGAGTCCGTGGGCTTTCGGCTGTTATCTTTTGATTTCCGTGGTACCAGGGAAACCACGACCTCTCCTGTGCTTAGGAAAGCCAATCTCACTAAGCCACGCCCTCAGCCCCTCACCAGGGTATTCTAACTAGGTGCTCTACCACTGAGCCCTAGTCTCAGCTCCTTTGTACTTTTGAGGCAGGCTGGAGCTCTCGAAGTTGCTCAGGCTGGTCATGAACCAGACTGCCTCAGCTTACTAAATGGGCAGGATGTCAGGCGCACATGCAAGGCCCAGATCCAGCAACTGATAACATTCTTGTTGCTTCTCTCATTCCCAGCCAATCAGCTGCAGACACCCAGTCTGAATCAGCCCGGCGTCTGTGCATCCTGTTGACCCCGGACAAAGAGCTGGGAGGACCAGGGAGAAGAGAAAGAAAGAAAAAGCCAGAGAGGAGAGCACGGAAGACAGAGGGTCAGACAGACAGTAGAGGAGGAAAAGAGAGAAAACAGAGGGCAAAGAGACACACCTTGGTAAATAGGTAGTCCATGTGGCCTACACGGCAGCCGTCTTCATTGATGGGGATGAAGTTCCCTGTCCGACGACAGCACAGGGGGGGCCACGGGAACAGCACTTCCGGGGTGGCTGCCCGGAAGGCAGATGTGTAATTCACCCAGTCCATGGGGCCAGATGTGCCACAGCACTCTTGCTGGAGAAACAGCTGGGATTTAGGCAGGGCTAGAGGCGAGGTGCGCATGCGCGTGTGTAAACCATTAAGCTAATAGATTTAGCCCAAACCATTGCTGATAACCGTGCTGACAAATTAGATTTCGGAGGTGGGAGAGCAAGCAGTGAAGAGCACCTGCAGCTCTTCAAGAGGATCCAAATTCAGTTCCCAGCACCCATGTTGAGTGACTCACGACTCTTCTGTCCTCTTCTGAGCTCTGTAAGCGCCCACACACAAGTATGCATGTACGCACAGACACTCGTATGCACATAGCAATTTTTAAATCAAATTTTATAAAAGGCAGATTTATGGCGTTTCTCAACCCACTGAGTGGTTCGTTGTAGTTTGGGGGACAGGGTCTTGCTGCTTAACCCAGGCTGGTTTCAAACTGGGGTCTGCCTGCCTCAGTCTCCCAAATGCTAGGATTCCAGCCCTGAAGCACAATGCCCGGCTCAAATGAGTATTTCATCAGAAGCCCTTAGCTTCAGCTCTTAGCTGAGGAAGTGTGGGTACCCTTCAAACATAGTTCGGTTTCTGGGCCCCTGCAGACTTGGGCTAAACTGAGCTGGGATTATTCCTCCTCCTCCTCCTCCAACTCCTCCTCCTCCTCCAACTCCTCCTCCTCCTCTTCCTCCTCCTTCTCCTCTTTTGCAATATTATGTTGGATGCAGTTAGTACTGCAGCTTCACCTTTAATCCCAGCATTCGGGAGGCAGAGGCAGGCAGACCTCTTGGTCAGCCTGGTCTACAGAGTGAGTTCCAGGACAGCCAGCGCTATACACAGAGACACTGTTTTGGAAAAGAAAAAGAAAGGAAAAGAAAAGAAGAGACTGCAGCTTCTGAAGTTATGGGTGTGTCTTGTCTTAGAGACCTGGAATCCCTGAACTGAGGTGGAATCAGAGGAACAGTGATTTCAAAGTCATCCTTGGGTGAATAAGACCCGAGGACTGACTTGGACTACAGGAAACTGTTTTAAAAGTGCGTTGAGGGCTGGCTGTGGCAGGATATGCCTGTGTTGATGCAGTACTTGAGAGGTTGAAACAAGAGAATTAGAAGCTCAAGACCACTCATGGCTTCCGGATTTCAGTCTAGTTTATCTATGTAGCGAAAGTGTGGCTTTGTTTTTTTTGTTGTTTTGTTGTTTTTTTTTGTTGGATTTTTGTTTTGTTTTGTTGGTGTGGTTTTTGGAGACAGGGTTTCTCTTGTGTAGCCTCGGCTGTTCTGGAACTCACAGAGATCGGAGTGCCTCTGCCTCCCGAGTGCTGGCATTAAAGTTCTAGCCCACCATGCCCAGCTTGGGTCATTTTGGTTGTTTGGTTGTTTGGCTGGTTTTGGAGAGAAGAATCTCACTGTGCAGCCCTGGCTGGCCTTGAATTTACCAGCTCTACCTGCTGGGGTTATGGCATGAGCCACCATGCTGGGCTGGGCTGAATTGCTTGTCTTAAATAGTACACAGGGCTAGCGAACTGGCTCAGAGGTTAAGGCATAGCGTGCTCTTGCAGAGGACCTGGGTTCTGTTTCCATCACTCACATTAAGAGGCTCACAACCACCTGTGACTCCAGTTCCAGGGGATCCGATGCCCTCTTCTGGTTCCAGGGCACTGCATACACAGGCGTACAGCATGCAAAAACACTCATGTACATAAAATCGGGAAAAAAATATTTTTTCTATTTTTAGTGTGTCTCTTTGTGCAGCTTGTGTGTGTTTGCATGTGTGGGGTATTGCACATGTTTGCACATGCATGTGGAGGGTCTTTTTTTTTTTTTTTTTGGTTTGGTTTTTCGAGACAGGGTTTCTCTGTGTAGTCCTGGCTGTCCTGGAACTCACTCTGTAGACCAGGCTAGCCTCGAACTCTTGAACTCAGAAATCTGCCTGCCTCTGCCTCCCAAGTGGGGGGATTAAAGGCGTGCGCCACCACCGCCCGGCTTGCATGTGGAGGTCTTAAATTGAAGTAAAGAACCATCCTAGGATGATTCTTCCATCTTTATTGAGGCAGCGTGTCTCTATCAACACAGAGCCTTCCAGTTTGGCTAGTCTAGTCAATCAGCTTGCTCTGGAGGTGCCTGAGGCGGGGGTGTCCCCGGCCTCCACCTTCTGAGGTTGAAATTACATCCCCAGCCCTCATTTATCTGGGTTTCTGGAGATCTGAACTCTGATCCCCTCACTTGTAGAACAAACACCTAACCACTGAGCCATCTCCCCAACCCTCAATAAATAAATATTTTAAAATGTAATAAAGGAGCTTCAACGTGGTGGACCAGGGCTGTAATCCTAGCTACTCAGGAGACTGAGACAGAGAATCACATGTTCAAGGACTACCTGGGCTACATAGTGAATTGAAGGGTAGCCCAGATAATTCATGGTGACCCTATCTCAAGAGTTGAGAGAAAGAGAGAGAGAGAGAGAGAGAGAGAGAGAGAGAGAGAGAGAGAGAGAGAGAGAGAGAGAAATGAATAGGTAAGCAGTGGAGCCCTTGCCTAGAAGGTATGAGGTCCTAGATTCCATCCCTAGCCACATACAGAGGCAAAAAGAGAACAGTAGGCCCAAGGCTAGCCTGGGCTACCTAGTAAAGGCTGTTTTTGTCATTGTTATTATAATGAGATGAGAATCACCTTCAGTGTTACAATGCAGACAGCCACTTCCCAACCGAAAGGGGAACTTCTTTTCTGGGTTTGTTGGCTACAGAACCATAGTGACCAAAGGCACTCCTACCCCGCCTCAGTCCCCAGAGTGGAAATATTTATTCTGCCAGTGAGTACACGGAGCCCAACCCACCTCAATCATGATCCGGTCCCAGAGGCGGGTTAGCTCCTGGCCCTGGTCAGTGTCTGCACTGTAGTAGGTCAGCATTTGCTTGGTTATCAGGGACGGGTTGGACACCATCTGAGGAGGAAGGACAAGGAAGAGCAGGAGCCAGCTGGTTAGGGATGGGGGCCTATTCCCTGTATGCCCTGACACTCTAGGGATGTCCTCACCAGTGTGCCACCTCCCAGTATCATTCTGGTCCCCCCGCCATTCCTATCCCCACTCACGTAGTCTCGGTGGGTGTAGGATGTGATGCAGGAGGCACACTCAAAGATATAGACAATGAGCATCAGCAGCAGGTACTGTAGAGAGAGCAAGGGTGGCCCTTGGTGCAGAGGCAGATGGCTATGCCTAGGTGCCTTGGGCCAAAAGAAGACCTTTTTTTTGGAGACTATGAAGCCCTTGATGGTAGCTTGGAAATCACTACATGTAGACCAGGTTGGTTTCAAATTTACAGAAATCTGCGCCCCTTCCACACCACCAAGAGACAGGCTTAAAGATGCACCATTACACGCAGCCCCCAAACCAAACCTTTGTTCAGAGGGAGAGTACTCCCCGGCTTGTACAAGATTCTGGGTTCGGTTCCCGGCAGTGTATATGCACACACTAAACAAACAAAAACAGAGGGACTGAATCTGAAACTAGTGTGTGAGGTGAAAGATTGGAAACTGGTCAGTAGTGGCTCACACCTTTAATCTCAGCACTCGGGATGCAGTGGCAGGAGATCTCGGAGTTCGAGGCCGGCCTGGTCTATAGAGCAAGTTCCAGGGCAGCCTGGGCTACATAGAGAGACCATATCTTAAAAGAAACAACAAACAAAAAAAAGTAGTTAGATTGACTTTCAGGCTTTGATTAAATTTCTATGACAGAAGAACGTGATTGAGGATGAGGGAGAAAGGAGGAAACCAGGAGAGTGGCTAGCCGGGCATGCTGGTGCACAGCTTGAATCTCAGCACTTGAGGTGGAAGCAGGAGGATACCAGAGAGTAGCCTGGTATACAGCATGAGATAAAAGGAGGTGGAGGGAGTGGTAAGGAAGCCCTTCAGTTAATAGCGCCATTTATACACAGTAAAGCCCACGGCTCCTAAACTCGCTCCCCTTCCAGTCCCCACCCTACACTTTATTCTGACTGCTAGACACTGCTGCCCCCTTCTGGCCACAGGACCTTTGCTCATGCTGCTCTGTCCACCAGAGACACTCTCAAGCGCACAAGGGGCTCTCCGCCACCCACCTGCTTTTCTTGGCGTCTGCTGGCTGTGTGGGTTTTCATCCACTTCCCCAGGTTCCCTTCACTCCCTCAGATCAAGGGGTTTTAAAAGTTGTGCTCAGTGGTTTTGTTTTTTGTTCAGTACACATTTGTTGATTAAGTGATAATTCTGGGAGCCAAAGGTTCCACCGTGGCAGAGTAAGCACCGAGCCGTTCACCTGAGACCCCTCACTCTTCCCAACACCTGGCAAAGACAGTGGCCTCCTTCTTTGAGCTTCACGGGTTTATTTCTCTGTCTGTGGCTTCTGGGAAAAATGAGGGCTCATTGAGGCAAGGATCAAATGTGTGGGCTTCCTGAGCCTGGCGGTTCAATTCCTAGCAGACCTGGTTCACACAGTTAACTGAAGGCCAACTGAACCATGGTGAGACCCTACCTCAAAACAAAAAGAGGATGGGTGTGTGCACTGTGGTGGCGCACAACTCTAATCCCAAAGGGTGAGAGGCTGAGACAGCTGGGGCTTCATAGGGAGAAGACAAAGGGGGTGGGGGGGGGCAGAAGAGATGGCTTAGTGAAAGCCCCATGCTGCCTTTGCAGAGGACCTGAGTTCAGAGCCTGCCTCCTCTTCCCCCCAATCAGGCTACTCACAGCCACCTACAACTCCAGTTTCAGGGGATCCAACTCCTTCCTCTGGTTTCCTTGGACACCGAACAAGTGTGGACACACACGCACATTCACACACCAATAAAAAAACACAGTAAACCTTAAACACAAACTTCCACTGGCGCCACGAGCGGACCTGCTCAAGTGTAACTGGGCTGTGTGGTCCAGCAAAAACCTCTCTAAACCTAAACCTCAGCTTCAATCTTCTGTCGAGTAGGAATAACGCAGAGGCCATGACGGTGGTGGCATTTCATGATAGGCCATGTAACATAAATGAACTAATCTGTTGGGTTCCTGGCTTAAGTTACATCCTTGGTAAATGATAGCTGTGTTATTACTTTTTTTTTTTTTTTTTTTTGGTTTGGTTTTTCGAGACAGGGTTTCTCTGTGTAGCACTGGCTGTCCTGGAACTCACTCTGTAGACCAGGCTGGCCTCGAACTCTCGAACTCAGAAATCCGCCTGCCTCTGCCTCCCAAGTGCTGGGATTAAAGGTGTGGCCACCACCGCCCGGCATGTTATTACATTTTTCGTTGTTACTGCTGCCACAGCTCAGGACCACAGATCTTGGAGATCAAATAGTTGGGTTCAAATCCATGTATGTATGTATGTATGTATGTATGTATGTATGTATATGTGTATATTTGTATATGTATATATGCATATTTGTGTGTATGTTTATATTGCTTTTAGGAGCCTCCTAGCAGCTGTGCTGAACACCCCTCTCCCCCTTGCCCCCCAGGTTCCTCTGTACAATGAGGGTGATGGCTGAAGCTGTCATGGTACCAGGCCATGGTGAATGAAATTGTGAGGTCTTTAAGTGAGGTGCCATGAATGAGCCACACTCGTGGCCCTGCTGTCACCCATGACTGATGGCCAGTGCTGCCCCTCCCTGTCCTGGGATCTCACCGTGAGGATCATGTACCGCCGCCGACAGAGTGCAGCTCCTACACCAAAGCTGGCCACCACGAAGAAGGAGAAGCCGCAGAAGATGGCAATCCAGGCCCCAGCGAAGACGTCATCCTTCCCTGAGACGCCCATCAGGGGGTACACGCGATACTGATCAGCTGTTACCCACACTGTCTCCGCAAACAGGGCCAGGCCTGACAGCTGGACCGGGAAAGGTTAGTCCAGGAGTTGGATTGTGGGAGTTTCCAGAATGCAGGCCTTTCCCGGTCCACAACCTCCAGTTCCCTTGGGGTAAAGTGGGCTTGGAAGGGAGGCTGACTCACGTTATGAGCAGGGATGGGGGGCGGGTAGGGAAAAGCCAAGAAGGAAGGAAATGTCCAGCCTCAGCCCCCCACATCCCAGGGGGCAGTTGTTTCAACAATAAAAAGCTTAGCAAGCAGGGTGGGCACAGGGGAACTGTCGCGTTGGCCTGCCGCGCTGGCCTCCGTGCTGCTGGCAGTGCTGTTCTGAGCATTTTATGGGTGGGAAGAACTATATAACACTTGCCCCAACTCTTTGGTAGCTCAGTTCATCCTACAGGTGCACTGTCCCAGGCAAGGCTGGGGCCAGCTAACAGGGCTATTCTCTGCAGCATCGTGATAAGGGAGGTGGAGGCCACATGACAGAAGCCCCTGTGTGACTGTCAGATGCCTGGACTCTGGCATTCTGTGGTCTTATATGGAACAGCCTAGAGGCCGTGTGAGCTACTGAAAGGCATCCAGCAGGGTGAGCTACACTGGAACAAGAAAATGGGCTAATCTCTTCCTATTTGCTTGTGTTTGCTTAAAGAAATATCAGAAAGACCGGGGGATGTCTCTGAGTTGGCAGAGAGCTTCTCTAGCATGCAGAAAGCCCTGTGCTCAATTGCTAGTCTTGTATGAACTGGGCCGGCTGGTGCACACCTGTGAGCCCAACACTTGGAATGTAGAGGCAGGAGGATCCAAAATCCAAGGATTTTCTTAGCTACACAGGGAGTCTGAGGCTAGACTAGACTACATGAGACTACACGAGTGAACTTCTCTCAAAAATAACAAAAACAAGCCGGGTATGGTGGGGGCACACCTTTAGTCCCAGCATTCCAGAGGCAGAAGCGAATGGTCTCTGAGTTTGAGGCTGGCCTGATCTACAAAATGAGTCCAGGACAGCCAGGGATGGTTACACTGAGAAATTCTGTCTCGGAAAAATCAAACAAAACACTACTACTAACAAAAATCTGGTCACTATAGGGTTGTCATGGGGACAAAGGAATTAACAACTCTGTTCCATGTAACGCCAGGCATGATGGCATACACCTTTAATCCAGCACCTAGCCGGCAGAGCAGAGGGAGCAGGTCTGTTCTTCCATCTACACAGAAACTCTATCTTAAAAATCAGAGACGAAGAAAGAGGAGGAGAAAAAGAAGAAAGACAATTTCTCTGTGGACAGGCTTTGGTTGTTGTCTTGGGTTTTTGACACAGGGTCTCATAACGTAGCCTAAGTTGGCCTGGACTTACTGTGTAGTCTAGAGCGGTCTCAAACTTGTGGCAATCCTCTTACCTCAGCCTCCTTAGTGCCACAGGCGTGTGTTATCACATGGGGCTCTGCTGTGGGTATTGTGATGGTGATGGAAGCTAACATTTGTGACGGATGAATCGCTGTCTGCGGGGGGGCGCGCCGCATGCGAGAATCACTATTGTAACCAGCTGTGGTATCCCATTGCTCTGCACCATACAGATAGTATACTGGTTTGCTGGATTCTATTCTAAAATCATTAGTCTAGGAACTGTTTGCATCCTCAAAGCATCCGTGTTGTCTCTCTCTCTCTTGCTGAGATGAGATGAGAAAGCCAGGGACCACAGAGGTGATACTGATGGCCTCAGGTCCCATAACTAGCAGAGCTGGGATATGAACCCAAGCTTGCCTGGCTCAGGGCAACACCCAAGCATCACATAGTTTTCCTCTTTTTTTTTGGGGGGGGGGGTTCAAGACAGGGTTTCTCTGTGTAGCTCTGGCTGTCCTGGAACTCACTCTGTAGACCAGGCTGGCCTCAAACTCAGAAATCCACCTGCCTCTGCCTCCCAAGTGCTGGGATTAAAGGCGTGCGCCACCACTGCCAGGTGTAGTTTTCCTCTTAAAAACCAACATCACAACATCAGCTGGACAGTGGGGGTACACACGCCTTTAATCCTAGAACCCAAGCGGGCAGAGGCAGGAGGATCTCTGAGTTTGAGGCCAACCTGGTCTACAGAGTGAGTTCCAGGAC